TCAAGACCAGCCTGGGCTACAAAGTGAGCTCAAGGCCAGCCTGAACTGCATAGTGAGACCCTGTCTCAAAAAAGAAAAAAAAATAAGCTGACCGCCTAGTATATGAAGAAAGGCCGAAGCTGCATTGCCAAGATGAGTCTCCAACTGCAGCCACCCTGACTGAAATACATAGTGCTCCCCACCAGTTTCCAAAAAAGAAAATGAAGGAAAGACAGCAAACTGTGCCCCTAACAATCGCTCACAGAGACCACAGGTTCTGATGTAAAATTTAAGATACATTGAATTAAATGCAATATATGATCAAAAATAATTTAACCTATTTCTTCTGATTTAAAATTAAAATTATATTGAAAATGACATGATGGGACTCACATTATATTTCCATTGGTTAGCACTGGGCTAGGAGGGTCAATTTGAATCCATTAAAATCAAAGGATATTGAAGATGCCCAAGCCAAGCAAGTCAGGGTCATTTTTGTTAAAGAAGCTGCTCAATAAATTCACCTTTCTAACCCATCGAAGATCAAGCCTCATTCTCTCTCTCTCCCAGAGACATTTTGTCAGAAAACCCTCTGCCCCCAGTGCTCCCTCATAGTTTATATCTAGCTCTGGGCTTTGGGGGAGGCAGTTGGATCATGGAGGTGTATCGCTGACTTGCTCTTAGGAAGTAGGGCCTGGCCAGAAGAGGAGGGTCACTGGGGGCGTCGCCTGGAGGCATTTGTCCTCCTGGCTCTTCCCTTGATCTCTCTGCTTCCTGTTCACCATGTCCTGAGCAGGCCTGCTCTACCATACTCCTGGGCCAGGCCGTCCTGCCTTGAAGCCAGCCAACTATGGACTGAACTCTACAAACTGTGAGCCAAAATGAACCTCTCCTCCTCTAGAAGATAGAGGTGTCAGGTAATGTGCTTGGTGACCAGGAAAGTGACTACAACAGTCCTCTCTGCCTCAGATACCAGAGAAGTGTGTGAAACTGGGTGCATGCCCTATATCTGCCTGAGCCTCCAAGGGCCTTCCTAACCTGGCCCCCACATGTGCCCAGGCTCCCCACCTCTCCCACAGCTTGGCGGCCTTCTGCCTCTGCTGTGCAGCAGGCCTCACTGCCCAGGACTCACCCAGCAGCTCCAGGCCACTGTGTCTCCCCAAGGCCAGACTTCTTGCCTTCATTTCAACTTGTGCAATGCACACTGAGCACCAACGCTCCCTCAGCACTTTCTGACTGACCTACCATCACAGCTGTGCCTGATGTGTGCATCAGCCACTTGTCCTGCAGACCATAGAATACACATGTGCTGATCTCTATAGAAGGTTCCCATTGAGCAGACACCCAGCCTGTCTACACTGGCACCCAGCATGAGGCAGGGTGTGTGCTGCACAGAAAGCGTGGCATGCTGATTGAGTTCATCAATCAGTCAATCAATATTCAAAGTCCCGAGAAGAGAAGTCACTGACACTGAGCCTATGTGGCTGAATCAGACTCATTGATCCCCATTATATAAGCAAATGATTCAGAGTAAGTCACGGGTGAGTTGGAGGTGGCATCACAGGCCCCCTCCATAATCTGAGAGAATCTCTGCTTTTCTAAGCAATATTTCCTGAGTCCTCACAATATAAGCTTCCTCAATGGACACAGCTGCAGTTGCACACTAAAGTTTATAAAGGGAGATTTAAGATCCACAGCCGCCTCCCCAGGGGCTATGGCAGAACCAGACCCCTGTCCATACACAAGTGCACACAGAAACAGGGAGTCCTGCACAGCCACATCAGACATAGCACCAACCCTGCTAGTCACCCGGACACAGAAGAAGCACCCACCGGAAGACTCCTGATGGAACTGGAATCCCTCAAGCTGGGGGTAAGTGATGCTGTCAAACACCTTCAGCTCGGACCTCCCGCAGGTCGTCAGCCACACCACCAGCTCCACGAGCTCCTCCAAGTGCGGGTCCACTTCACCCTGGGTCAGCCCATCATACCTGCGGGGAAAACGAAGCAGATACCTTTGTGCATGGTGCTTCCTGCAGGATGCACGGGCAATGCAGCTGTGTGGTTCCAGTCCACAGTAGAGGAAGTACAGCCCCACAGGCAGGAGTGATCCCCAAATCTCTAGAGGTTACTGTTTGCAAACTTCAGCCTCCAATCTGGAGACTTGCAATGGGTGCACAGTGGTTCCTCATTTCGGATCTTGGCACTGAAGATCCAATTATACTTGGGTCAACCACAATCTGAAAATATAAAACTGAAAAGCTCCAGAAATAAAAAATTCATAAGACTTAAATAACTTTTGTTATAGTAAATTATTTTAAGATTATTTTATTATTATTTACTGTTAATTTCTTATGTGCCCAATTTACAAACTAAATTTTATCATGTGTATGTATACATAGAAGAAAACATAGTATATGTAGACTTCCTTCCTGTCAGTGGATGCTTGGGGCATCCACAGGGGGTCTTATCACACATCCACACCAATAACGTGGGGGCTACTGCTCAAAGAACTTTCAAGATCTTGCATCTCAGTTCAGAGGAAGCTACTTTCCCTTGCTGGATCCCCAAAAGGCACCAACAAGACAGGTCACCTCTGAAATCAGGGACCTGATATTCCCAAAGAGCAAGGAAGTAGACAGTGGGAAGAACTGGACTTGGAAGGGCTTCCCTATGCTTACCCGAAGGTTGACACTGCTCTTGGTTTTAGACACTAGTGGGTAGGAGGCTGTCTTGCTCTGCTCCTGGGGTGGTGGAAAGGGGCCCTCAAGTCTTATTCCAGCCCCACCCTTTCAGCACCCAGGGAAAGTGCTTTGGTGTTGCTGCAGGCAGGACACGAAGGAAAGACACCACATCCAGTATCTGCTTCCCCCACTCCTGGGAACAGGTTTGTTTCCCCCTGCTGCCTCTCACAGGACATCTGGGAGGCTGGCCATTCACTGAACCAAAGAATCGCTCTGAAAATACCATGACACAGACCTCCATGGCCACCAGAGCCTGTGGGTCATGATCCAGACCCATTAGAATGTGGTGTTCCCAGAGGGGCGTTTATTCTTCTCTCCCCTTGGAAAGAAGGTATATTCTCTTCAGGGTATTTTCATATGGTCATATCCTGGTGGACAGGGGTATTCATCCTCCCCATCCAAGCCAACCCCTCTAGACTCCAAGCCTAGCTCCACCTTGAAGTCTGTGGACCTCAGTTTGAACTCATGCTGTCCAGAAGCCAAGCAAAGCCCAAAGGAGCATGAGCAGCCTCGCCCTGCAGCAGCACCCCAAGCTCCACTGAAGGGTCTAGGCCATCAAGGAATCTGAGATCCACCCCGTGCTCTCTCCAATCTCTGGGGCCCAACCTAGACATGATATGGCAAGTCAGAGCGGAGGGATTACTCCAGCCCAGGGTGGGTGGTATTTCCCACTGTACAAAGTCTGGAAGAGGGAAGAGGATTTCACGGGGAGCTGGTCACAGAGAAAAGGTAGGGAGAGCCTCAGCACCTCACTGAAGTTAGTCCTTCTGGGAAAGTCGATGCAATGTAGACCTGCCCTCCTTACACCCAAGGACAACTTTGCCAGATAATCACCCATTAGCTCACTCCAGCCACTGACAGGGAGCTGCCCCTGGGGGTGTTCACTCCCAGTAATTTCAGCTTCAGCTCACAGGTTAGGAGCTCACAGCTGCCCCCCTGACCCCAATGCAGACACTGAGCTCTGACAGGTAGAAGGCATGGCAGTAGCATGCAGATGGCACCAGCCACCATGCAGACTTGGTAGGGTCATTACTGACGACTCTAGGAAGGAATAGTCTGCACCCCATCTGCATGTTCGGTTACCTTTGCAACAAGGGATTCCTCTGTCCATGCTCAAGGAGCTTTGCATTTCAGAAGCCATGCTGAGACACTCAGCACCCCTGTGTTTCTGAGGACCTTGCCTGGAGTGGTCTTATTCCACCACTCCAGGCAGAACCACTTACCGCAGGAGCACCCTGAGCAGCAGAGGGTAGCCCTCTCCATTCTCAAACTCCAGGAGCAGAGCGGAGGAGACTGGGTAGGAGTCCTTCACGAAGCTTAGCACCAGGCTCACAGCCTCGCTCACCTCGGGTGCTGGGAGAGTGTCTGCCAGCCTGGAGAGGTTCTGGACAGAGAGCCGCATGCAGTTTGTCGCTGCAAAGGAAGCACAGCCCCGCTGAGCCCAGGCACCTCTGCTGCTCCATTCTCCCTCCTGCTGCCCACCAGGAAGGAGTCCCCGTGTCTGTGCTGGCTCCCTTGAGAAAGGGCTCGTCTGGGAGGTGTATTCCAGAGAGTCAGGAGGACAGCCACACTCTGCAGGCCAGCAGATGACACTGGAATGGGGACAGACTCTAGGCCCTCTTCCCTGGCAAGAGGGAGAGACCAGGTCCCAAGTCACACAACAAGGAACATAAACCATAGCATGGCAGAGGACATGGAGAAGCAGAGCTGGAGCCCAGGACAGGAAAGGAATGACACATGTGAGGAGGAAGAGGAAGGGGGGAGGAAGAGGCAGTGGGAGAGGGGAGAGGGTGCCAGGGGATCAGAGCAGAGGACTGGGGCTCAATTAGAAGCTCATACAGGGCTGGACGTAGAACCTGCTGGTCCCCAGGAAGAAAGCCAAGGGAAGATCCAGGTCAAACAAGGGGTGCTAGTAAACTCCCTTTTACACAGATCCTTTGTTTTCAAGGACTTTGCAGTAAATAGGGCCTCTTCTGAAAGCTGTGCAGGCCACCCTAAGGAATGCCTTGATTTCTTCCTCACCCCACAAGCCCACCCAAACCACCCTCTCCAGATGAAAGTCCTCAGTGCAGACAGTATGTTGGATGATGCATGCATGGTACAGGGATTCTCCTTTTTTCCTGCCACAACAGAGCATCAGCATGAGCCACAGAAGCCCTGCACAAGGGGCCACACAATGCCAGCCACCCTCTTGGGCACAGTTCTCTCCTTTGGCCCCAGAGATCACTAATGAGCTTCCAGAGCATGCAAGACTTGTTGCAGAAAGCAGGCCCCCAGCCTCGCTCTAAGATTTCCCATCCAGGGAAGCCCTGGGTGGCCATGGCATGTCTCTAGCGTCTGGGACCTACTCTGCAGGTACTGGATGATGCTGGGGCTCTGTGCCCTGGAGATGGCCCTCAGCACACAGAAGGTGGGCTCTCTCCAGAAGCAGCAGCTGTGCTCCCGGAGACAGGTGGTGGCGATGAGCAGAGACTGGAGTTCACTCCCTGAGAGGAGCCACTCCAGACCCTGAGGCTCGCTGCACAGGTTCAGCAACATCTGAGAAGGGGGAGGAAGAAGACAAGGAGCTCTGGTTAGAAAGCTGCCCTCCTTGGACGGATGTTTCTCTATTTCTCTGGAGCACTGGTGGACATGTCTCATCACAGGAGCCACGCACCACCCAACCATCAACAGAGCCAGCTCACACCCAAATCCATAATCCCTACAGGCAATTGTTATGCCATCCACATCAGAACACAGCTGTCCTCTCATCTGCAAGTGTTCATCCCAAGACAGTGTCCACATGCCTGAAGCCCTGTACCACCCCAAACTGAGTTCACAGTCGTCCCCACCAATCTGGCCTCTCCATGGCTAGCAAAGGGACTTCCAATACCTTCAACCCCACTTGGGATGAAACCCAAAGACCCCAGCATGGACTGCAGAGTCCCTCCTGGACCAGCCTTGTGTCCTCTCTCCCTTTATGCATGTAGCTGTCCATTAGACACTCACTGGTCCAATAGGACATTTTCCCAGCTTGGCAATTGTCACAAGTTCCTTGCACAGAATGAAGGCACTGTCCCCTCTAGCATGGTGACAGAGCAGAAGCTGGGCAGCCATCAGCTGGGTCACTGAGCCCATTTCCAGCCTCTCTTGCAGGTTGATGTGGCCATATGACCTTGACCTCACCTTGAGCTTGGACAACCATTTCTCTGCTGGCTTCCCTCTCCTCCCTGCTCCCTCTACTACATCTGGCCAGGCTATCCTCATGTCTCTGTCAGTCTCTGCCCTCTGGTCAAATGCTACATACCCAGAACACTGAGTGCCATGTTCTCCAATGTAAAGCGCCCCCCACTGTCATCTCCCAGAGCGCTTCTAACTGTCCCTTCACAGTGCTTATAACATGGGCAACTAGGGGCCGGGGAGATAGCTCCGCAGCACCATGCCTGCCTGGCAAGCAACAAGGACGTGGGTTCAATTCTTTTTTTTTTTTTGGTTTTTCTCCGGTACCAGGAACTGAACTCACGACCTTGCGCTTGCCAGGCAGGCGCTTTGCCGCTGAGCCAAATCCCCAGCCCCGTGGGTTCAATTCTTGTACCAAAAAAAGGGGGGCAACTACATACATCTTCATGGACTGCTGTCCCCCCACTTGGCACCCCCACTTTTCTGTCACCCAACAGTGCACCACACTGTTTCTGCTGTGGCAAGCATAGGTCTGGTACAGAGCTGCGTGGTATCTTTGTAGAACACATGGATGTAAGACAAGCATGGTCACACAGTGATGAAACAGAACAGGGTCCCCCGTGCCCTCACCCTGGGGAGCAGAGAAACAGCAGAAAAAGCAGAGACCTCAGGGAAGAAGCAGGGGAGGTGGGGAAGACGGCGGTGACAAGAGGGAAGTAGCCTTGATGCTCAGCAGCCAGAGATGTCTCCTTGGAGGAGGAAGGAGGTGATCTCACAGTGAGGTTAAAAGTGTGACCCTGAGCAAGCTCAAGCCAGATCCAAGACCTCACCCCAGCCCATGCCCTCAGCAAGCCCAACTCCACACTCGCCTACCACACTTTAGTCTGCATGGATTGAGGATGACAACACACACACATCCTCTGATGGCAGAGAGGGCCTTGCAGGTGGCCCAGTGGGACCCACAGGCAGGGCAGGTGTAAAAGGAGAGTGTGCACTACCAGCAGTGATGCCCACATGTATGACACTGGCCCCGGAGATCATAGTGGAACTCAAGCACTCCCCACACCTAGGGATGCCGTGGCTGTCACAATAATGTCCTAGCACACACACTACCTATGTGTTTGTGACAACCCAGGTGTAAGCAGACACACTCGGCTGCCAGTTGTATAAGAGTCCAGCACTTACAAGTTTATACAGTACCTAATATTCAGTAATGATAACAAAATCTATGTCACTGGCTTCTGCACTTACTAGGCTATACTTTTTATTGTTATTTCGGATGCAGGCATGGACAACATGTGGCTTGTGGAATACAATGCATATTATAATAAAAAGTACTTCTAAAAGGGAAATTTTGGTTCATATGTACATGAACTATATTATATATTTTATATATGGCCCAAGACAATTGCTGTTGTGTCAGTGTAGCCAGACAAGGCAGCCTAGAGTGCACTCCTTCTATTTGTCTTTTTTTTGATACTGAGAATTGAACTCAGGATCTTGCACTTGCCAGGGAGGCTCTTGTTCCGCTGATCTACATCCCTGGCCCTCTTTCTACTTTTTAAAAAATAATGTACCATAAAACACCACTCATGTCTATTGTGTCTTGATCATAGCAAGAGGCCAACCACATAGTGGCGAATACCATGTAGGTTTGGGTGCTCAATGTCAAAGTTGCTGAACCTAACGGTGTCTTTCTGAGAATGTGTCCCTGTCACCAAGCACTGCATGGCTGTATTTACAAAGTATTGGCTACTGTTCTGCAAGTTGGGCTGAGCATGTGTGTTCTCAGAGGGGAAAGGTCCAGAAAAAAGGGGTTCCAGGAGCCAGAGGATGGCTGGACCTAAGCACAGACGAGGAGGAGCCAGGGGTGTTGATACAGGAATGCCACGAGATGCTCACAAAGGGGAGAATCAGGGGCTGAGAGTCAAGTCTCCCAGAAGCCCCTGACAGTCTGCTGCAGAAGCCAAGTCACGGCATTAGGTGGTGGGGCCCCTGTCTTTCTCACCTGTACGAACATCCTCTGCCCTTGCAGGTCACTCTCTAAGAGCTCGTCCTTGTCCACAGGAAAGACAAAGAAGAGGTACAGACACTGGAGGAGCAGGGCCAGGAGCCCGGACTCAGCCACTTTGCCCAGTGTCTCCTGCAAGAGAAGAGCACGATGAGCTGGACCTGCTTCCTGCCCAGGTGTCGGGGGTGTGGGGACATCACTTCTCTCGAGCACCATGTCTTCAAATGCAAAATGCGGACAACCACAGGTCTCCCCTATGTGACTGTGAAGATGAACTTGATATAAAGTTCTTACTGTGTGCTCAGGAAGGTTATCTGTCTTATAAGCTACATGAAGTAGGAGAGGGAGGAAAGAAAGGAATGAAAGAAAGGGAGAGAGAAGTGGTAAGAGAAGGGCACTGAAAATTAGATCACAAAGGCTTCCCAGCAAATCACAGCCACCAAGATTGGTAACAGGTGTGTGAATGACAGGGGCCACCTGCAAGGCACCCACCCTCTGGCCCAGACCCCAGATTTTGCCAAGACCAAAGTGGGCAAACCAAAGTGCCACTCAGCAGCCTGGGGCCACCAGCAAAGGCCACAAGGACAGTAGGGTGGTAGAGATGGATCTTCCTGGGCTTCCTTCCCTGGAATCAGGATGTGACTCAGCTGGGGACCAGCCACCCTGAAGGGTCCCATGTGAGATGACATCCACCTGGCTGGCTGTGTCTCTGTAACTGTCCCCACTCAGACCTCAGAGAGGCCTCCCAGGAGTGACAAGCCAGGGCTCTGGGCCTCAGGCCACTGTGCCCAGTGGCGGTCCTGGCCAGCCATGCTGAGGAACTGCCAAATGTCCTTCCCAAATCATTGCTGAAGACCTGGCATTGGCTCCACCCGCAGACCATGCCCCCTGCTCTGAGGGTCTGCCCTGGGCAGTTCCTCACCTACTCCCATGCCACGGAGGGGTCTCTGGGCCTGCATTACATATAGGGTCTTGGCCACTTCTGCTGGTAGCCACAGCTACACGGACCACTTCCCCCTGTGAGGACACAATCCACCTGCATCCTCGGAGGCCAATGTCCCAAGCTCAGCACCACAGTGGGGTGTTGTGGCCTAGTGTGTTAGTTCATGAACTCAGAGTGGCTCTGGGTCAGAGGAGAGCTGACACTCGCAAAGTGCCTTCTTGGCACTGCCCCGGCATCACCACAGTTAAACTCAGGGTCTCCAGGGATGGGGACTCACTGGTACCGTGTAGGACACATTAGCCTTGCCCCACAGCCAGGAAACAGTGAGCATCAGCCCTTCACACCCCACGCTGACCCTACAAAAGAAGGACAATTGCCTCTGTTTCCGCAGTTGGAGACACAGCCAGGTAGAAGAGAGGTAAAATCTTGTCAATGGGAAAGCAGGATTCAAACCCGCGTTTCAGATTCTGGGTTCCACGGTAGAGGAGGAGAAGAGGGGAGAAGTAATCAGGGCAAAGGAAGACACTTGGGAACAGCCACCCGCTGTGCCGGAGCTCTCTGTACACTGGGGACGCGAGGCAGAGTCCCTGCACTCACCTCGTCCGTCCCGGTGAGCACATACACTGACTTCAGGAGCAGGTGGCCGTCCTGATCCGTGTCCCCTCTCCACCTCAGCAGCTGCCCAGCCGCCACCCGCGCGTCCTCTGGAACACAGTGAGCAGCTGGAGTGCGAGAACCTGTGCACCCACCTCCTTCCACCTGGGCCTCCCCTCTGCCCTTCACATAGGCCCCGTGCCTGCTGCTCACACACAGGTGGCCCACGAATCTGCCTGGAGGACAGGCTGCACTGTGCCACCACCTCTGCCTATGGCCACTGCAGGGGGTGTCCGATGCCCTCGGAGTGAGAACTCCTCCCCGTTGGGGAGCCTCCTCACCCTAGCAGGGGGATCCCTGGTGGGCTTTGTGCTCAGGCTCCTCCCGCCCCTCAACCCGCAGTCACGCAGTTTGCCCGGTCACAGGAGCAGAAGTGTGCAGGCCGCAGACTCCACAAAAGAGGAGCCTCTGGCCTCTCTATCTCTACCAGGTCAAGCTCTCTGCAGAGTCCCTGCCCTGTGTGCGCATCTGTGTGTGAAATGTGCCTGGGTGTGTGGCACTGTGTGTCTCTGCGTGTCCCTGTTTGTGTGAGAGCATGTCTGCGGGAAACACACGTGTGTAGTGTCTCTGTGTGACTGTGTCTGTGTGTACTATGAGTACATTTGATCTGTGTGTTTTTAATCAATGTGTGTACAGTCTTGTGTGTAGGTGTGTCATAGGTCTGTATACCGGTTTCACTTTACTGTCTCTGTATGTGTGGTGTGAAGTGTGACTGTGTTCAACTGTGTGTCTCAGTGTGTGGTATGATTGCGTGTTTCCGCAGCAAAGCTCTCTGACTCTGCCCCCAACCCCACACTTCCCTCTGTCCTGAAGATCTCAGAGGCATATCAGGTGCAGGCCCTGTCGTGGGCACTGTCTGGATGCGGGAGGAGGCTGAGGCCGAACTGGGAGTCAGGAAAGCTCTGCCTGCAGCCTGCGCTCCCGCACACCACTATCTTACCTGCAGGCTTCCCGACCAGGGCCTTCTGGATTTGTTGGGCAAGCTGATTGGAAACATCTTCTGCCAGCTTTTGGAGACTGGGGAAGCAGATGATGCCCACGGAGTGTTTCCAAGCCTGGCGAGCAACAAACAGGACTGGGTCAGAGGTTTCAGCGCTTCAAGCAAGGCAGACAATATCCTTGCTCCCTCCTGGCCAGCCCCTGCCGATGGCTCACCTTTCCCAGATGCATACATAAGGCCACTCCATCACTCGCCTTAGCTTCAACCAGGATCCCACGCAGTGCCTCTCAATGCCTGCTGAGCCTAGACCCACACATGCCATCGCCCCGGACATCCTTCCAGACACATGTTCCCAGTGCTCAGAGCCCTGCCATCGCCTTCCCCCAACGGCCACACCTGGTAGCAGGATGGCCCTGCCACATGCCCAGCTGCCCAATGGGAATGCAAGAGTGACCTTGTAGCCCTCCTCCACCCCCCTTACCCCATCAACTGCTATGTCTGATCTGCCTCTTACACAGTGCTTTGTCCCTTTTCTGATGGTATAATGAAATACCTGAAGCTTTATATAGAACAGAGGTGCTGTAGGGAAAAAAAGATCTAGGTCAAGTGGCCCCATCTGTCTGGGCTCTGGTGAGGGGCTCTTGGCTGTGCCACCACATAGCAGAGAAGTGGAAAAAGGGAGCCACATGCAGAAGAGGCCTAGGGCACGGGGCATCAGCACTGATCCCTCCCCCAGGGCAGTGGTCCCATGAGGTGATCACCTTCCAGGGGCCCCACCTCCTAATTTTCCACACTCCAGACCATGCCACTAGAGTCCAAGCTTCCAGCACATCAACCTTGGGGGACACACTCAGACCACGTCCAAACCACAGCACACAGTTCTCAAATCTTACACGGCCATCTTTGCTTTAATCATTCAGTGATTTCCTTGAGATAAACTGAATTGCAAGTGTACATCATTTTCTCAGCGCTTTGGTACATGCAGCTAGCTCATTCTCTTGATAAAGTTTACCAAGTTAGACTCTGTGGGCTTCCTGTGAGGCTGAATTTTCCACACCCACATGTGTGTTCTCATGCCTGTTCATATGTAATGAATAACCTCATGGAAGAAAATGTAACTCATCTCAATTTTAGTCTTTTGATTACCGAAGTGGATAAATGCTTCTCACACTCCACTGATTCCCCCATTTTTATTCTTAGCCTGTAAAGATTTTCACTGCTTTATTTATTTAAAGAAAATCTTTATATATTAAGGGTTAGCCTTTGTTCTTTAACACAGTTGCAGTTATTTCAGGTATCTCATCTGTGTGTTAACTTGGTATTATTTTGGTTCAGTTGTACAGAAATCTAAAATTCATGTGAAATCAAATTTCTCAAGCTGGACCAAGCCCTTACTAGCATTCTCTCCACTAACCCTCCCACAGCTTTGAGGTTGGCACTCTCTTTATATCTGCTTTGCAGAAACTGAGGCTGAACTGGAGATGAAGCACACAGCATCAGCATCCAGAGGTGAATGCTTTCATGTGCGTAGGTCATGCCCAAGCAGCAGGTGCCTGTCTGAGAAACTGGGGGCAGCCATCTGGAACTCAGTGGTCAGTCACCTGGCATGGCCACCCTAGAAAGAAAGTCTATCTTCTAGGCTCAGAGCTTCTGTGGGAAGATGACTTCTCTCCCCAGGACCACAAATGCTGCTGCAGTGTCTTCCTAACAAACACCCGTGCCTCCTCCCTGCACCAGTGAGCCCTTCAAAGACCAATTTGCAGGCGGTTGACTCAGAAGCATCTATATTGTCTCCGGAGCACTGGGACTCCAGGAGGCACTCTACAATAAAGCAAATTGGGCCACTGTGAGTTGAACAGTAATTGCACTCGAGCCAGCTCTCCCAAGGCCCCAGCTCCTTCCTGGGACTGCCATGGGCTCTTCCAGAGGTTGCTTTAACTCTTTCAGGCCACTAGGGTGCTATTTGACACACAGAGCTGATCATTTGCTGAATGTTACCATAGAGACCTAAAGAGTTAAGGGAGCTTCCAGAAGGCCCTAATTTTTTCCCAAACTGGGACTTGCACGCTGGGAGAATATTGCTCAATATTTTTTAAAAACTTATTTACTGACATTGTCTAAACTGCACCATCACGCCTGTGGCTGTCCCTCTTATGGAAGAAAGAGAAAATGGTGTTCTAATCTCTCAAGGAAAATGAAGAAGAACCCAAGTTTTTGAACAGATGTTGGGGGGAAACCCAGCTTTTGAATGGCAAAGAGAATCTGGTTGGTTTTCCACCTTGACCTGGATGTTACAGTTGCCCCCATTATAAGAGTCAAACTTTGTCTTTCAGTGAGTTTCTGCCATAATGAGACTTCACATGAGTTCCCAGCTATTGTGGCACAGTGGGCAATCTCCTTTGTAAATTTTTTTTAAAAAGTACCACATCAAAGCTTTGTTGAAACAGCAAAAATGTTACTTTTCGGTCATCAGTTAGATCTGCCTTTGGAGCTTGAATGATTGACCACGTTCAAAGACATAAACTCGGCACCACTGGACAAGTAGCCTAAGAATGGGCACACACACCTCTAATGACAAGTAATTTTGTGGATTCCTCCTCATGTCTTCCACTATTACAGTTATCTATTGCTGCCTGAAAAACCACCCTAAAATTGAGTAAGTAAAATAATGGCATCATTAATTTAGCTCATGGATCTGGAACTTGGGCAGTAGTCAATAAGGACAGATTTCCTCTGTTCCACACTGCTATGGCAGCTAAGCAGGGCTGAGACCCACCTCCAAAATGGCACCTGTATGGCAACAATCATAGCTGTAACGTCGGGGCCTCACTTCCTCTCCATGTAGACTTCTACTCAGTCCCATTCAGCTTCCTCACTACAGCGCAGCCAGATCCCAAGAGTCAGTAATCCAAGCAACAAGAAACAGCAGCTCGAGAGTTCTGATGTCTGGGTCAGCCAAGCCCAGCCAAGCTATCACCAATCCATCCAGATTTAAGGGGCGGGGACCCAGACCTCACTTTGTGAATGGAGGAGTATGATCTGGTTCACATCATCACCATCCACCACACCCACACATCTCCCAGTATCCCACCGTGGTCCCACCCAAGACTATCAGTCCTGCACCCTGGGGGATTTTACACTAACTATGGACATTCACTGTCTTGCTTCCTATTTATTCTCCAAGTCCACATCTGAAGAACCCTCTTCAGGCGCTACTTCTGTAGCTCTAGCTTTGTGCATATCCATACCACAGACTATCTCTAAACAATGGGAGGACCTGGAGGCTCCCCTTCCACTGAAACAAACTCAACCCAAGACCAAGACCCACCCATGTTCACTATTAGACTTGGGCAGTGTGAGATCCAATGACCAAAAATGCACTGAAAAAACCAAGGCTGTTCTTTTCCTGACCAGAAAAGAACAAGGGCCTCTTGAATCCTTCCTGCAGACATCGCCCTGCACACTGCCAGGTCATCAGCCCCACGCCACTTCCTATGTGATGCAATGAAACCTTTACCCTGTCTGCAACACCCTGGAGTCAACTGCCCAAACATCACATGTGCACAGGGTGACACTGTTTTGTGCCCAAGAAAAAAAGCAAGGTCCTAGACAGCAAAGTCATTGCCCAGTGAGTCATAGGATAGATAGAGAAAGAGAAATCAGATATGGCCCATCCCATACACATTGGTGTTGAGTAAGGGAGCCCCTAGGTCAGCAGCAAAAACTTGGAGTACACTAGTTGGGTTCAGTCTGCAGACAACAACCTTGACTGCATGACTCAGCATCTGCAAGCCTCTTCCCTCATTTGCAAAGCAGCAATAAAAAGAGCTCCACAGTGTTATTATGAAGACATGGAAATATTCTATATAAAGTCTGGTTAGCCAGTCACAGCCTGGTAAATATGACCTAGTCATTACCAGCAACAGCAACTGCTTGCATGGACATCAGGGGTTTGCATCTGGGCCCTGCCCCTTGCCAACTTTTGAACTTAGGGCATTGTCTTAGTCACTTTCTCATCACTGGGACAAAATACCTGACACCTAAGACTCAAAGGAGAAGAGGTTTATCTTGGTTCAGGGTTTTAGTTCATAGTTGGCCAGCTCCAAGGCAGGAAAGCATGGCAGAGGGGAGTGGGGAAGAAAAGCCACTCACACCATGGTGGTCAGGAAGCAGAGAAAGAGAGAAGGGAGGAGTCAGGGGGACATAAACCCTTCCAGGCCACACCTCCAATGACCTGCCTTTTCTGACCAGACCCTACCTCCTAACAACAAGTCCACTATAGCACCCCCACGGTCCTTTCCTCTCCCAACAGCCCTGCCTATGAACACACAAGGGTCTCAGGGGCATATCAGTGTAAACCATGAGCATTATTCCATCCCAGGATCATTGCATTTCTTATATGGATGTTGCTCATTATACTGTCCAGGAAAAAAGCTTAAATTCAAAATCTGGTTTCTACTAAATGCATATTACTTTTGCACATCATAACATTGAAAAAAATTTAATTTGAACCATCCTATATCAGTGACCTTGTGTCTATGGTTCAGGTAGCACCAGCCAAAGGCAGAATAGAATCATACTAGAGAAAGAAAGAAAGAAAGAAAGAAAGAAAGAAAGAAAGAAAGAAAGA